GGTGCGCGCACGGACGGCTAGTTATGCGTGGCAGAACGTGCGCGGATGCAGGACACAGGCGAGAGGGGGTGGGATTAGGGGTGCGTGGGTGCGCCCGGCGGTGGGGGAGGCGCGCACCTTGACAGTCTGTGTGGTCAGCGGGTAGGCGGGCCCCTTGCCGTTGCGGTCCATGTAGCGCTTCAGGTCGGTCGTCAGGTACTCAAACACCTGCGGCACGCGCGTCCGTCGGGCGTGGGACCGGGGCTGCTGGGGCGCGCGCCCGCTGTACCGGGGGCCTGCCCAGCTGCATGGCCGGGGGCGACGGGCCGCGGCCCGCGCTGCTGGGGCGGCTCGGGGGGCGCGCACCAGGTATAGACAGGCCTTCTCATTCTCATCCACATGCTCCACTGTGAGTAGCCTGGAGTATTTAATAGCGGAGCGATGGGCAATTGTGACCACCAGAGCAGGGGCCAGTGAAGGTAGGCAGCAGGCGGCACGGGCAGTTGTGGCTAGCGCCCGCGTGTGTCCCTACAGCTGTCCGCAGCATGCGATCAGCTGCGGGCTCCCGTCTGCCATGGTTGTCGCTGCGCGGCTGCACCCAGCCGCCCGCACTTGACAATGTGGTTGCTCTCGCTAAGCATTTTGAGCAGCGAGATCTCGCGCAGTGTTGTTGAGGGGACGCCCTCCTCGTCCATCTACGGCAGCGGCACGGCGGGCAGGCCCACATGTTGACGTTGGCATGGACGACAAGGAGCTGTTGTCGCGCAATCAGCTGCTGCCCAGGCTGCAAGTGTGGCGCGCTCGCTGTAGGTACAACGTGATGCTGGGCTGCTGCTGCTTGCCGCAACCCGCGAGTTGCACAGCAGTGCAGCGGGCCACGATCGCACCTCTAAGCGCGTCTTCTTGAGCGCCACCAGCTTGCCGGATGTCTTGTCCCTTGCTTTGTACACCTTGCCATAGGTGCCCTCCCCGATCTTCTCCAGCTTCTCATACTGATCCATGGCCATCCTACAGGCCCGGTACTGAGCTGAGAGGTACTAAAATCACCTTTACAGCTAGCGTGACTGCCGGACTGGGTCGACAGGTGCACGGTGCTGTGCGATGCGAGCTCGGCTACTCGGCTGGGAGTCTAAGCTATGGATACGTGACAACACAGGAATACTGACGTTTAGTGAGAGCTTTACGCCGGCACTCTGCTTGTTTGGAGCTGTTTGCACTCCGCGCGGCGTTTGATTTGAACAGGCACCGCAGTCTGCTGCTGCCAAACGAGGGGCAGTGTTGCTTGATCGATAGCAATACGTTACGATTTGTATTTCTCGACTGCTCAGCAAGGAGCACCCCCGTTTTTCATCATTCACGCAAAAGGCGTGTCTGGCGCCGCCGCTCTGCACGCTGGGGTTGGTTGCTGCTGTCCTGCCATCGTGCGATTGGTTTGCGTGCGAAGACCGCATGGCAGCCACAGGACCGGCCACTTTACCAGGGTAGCCGCTTCAACTGCTGTTATTGAGGAGCTTTTGAGCTTTTATGACGGCTGGCATCTGGAGCAAATCCGCCCGCCATGCATTACTCTGAATTTGCACATGCCGGCAGCCGTTTGAATCTTCCGTTGCACTTCTGACAAACGCTACAGCTGCCGGGAAGAGCGCAATTCTAGGTTTGTGCTCATCAGCGGCTGTTGCGCCACTGGCTCAGCGTGTGAAGGGGTGTACAGGCCTGAAAAACACTAGCATGCACATGTGCACTTGATATGCCTGGAGTTTTGTTGATTCCACAGAGTTTTGTTGGTTCCACATTCCTTCAACCCATATCTTATCATTTACTTGAATTGGCATCCATGTTTCACTGAGGTGGTGGCATGCTCCCTGGTACTGCCATCACCCGCTGCTTGGTCAAGCACTCTGCATGTGCCTGCGAACCTTTCGCAGTCTTTGAGTAGGCTTATGCCACCCTGTGTTACCCACCCAAGTCCACTTCCCCACTGGCTCGACACCCACATTGGTCCAAATCCGCTCGAGGTTTCACTAGAATTCAAATTACGCATGAAAGAAGTGATCGCAATGGATGCACCCCCAGGCAAGTCAAGCACGCGGCGAGCCCAATGCAAGTCATGCCGAGCAGCGGAAAAAAATTTAGAGGACGGCGGCCAGGACGCTGTCGAGCTTGGCCTGCGCCACGGGCAGCTTGGCCAGGGCCGAGTCCTTGTCCTTCTTGCGGAGGGACAGGTCCAGGTCCTCGACCTGTTGAAGGGGCGGGGGGCCAAAGAGGGGTAGGGCGAGGGAGGCAGAGGCAGGGAAATTGAGAATGTGCGTGTGACAGAGTGTGCGAGGGCCTGGGTGTTTGGGGATTGCAGTCCTGCATGGCTTTCTTTGTCCCTGAAAGTGGTTTGCAGTCTGCAGGATGACCCGGTGCAGGAATCAACTGCAGGACGACCCGGTGCAGGATGACCCTGGTTGGTTGCTGCAGGATGACCCGCCACGCCCCACCCCAGGGGCGGCACAAACGCCGCCAACAACCAACCAACCGCCAGGCCCTCCCGTCCCGGGGCTCACGGCGCTGAGGAACTCCTTGCGGAGGGCGAGGGCCGCCTTCTTCTCCTCCTTGGGCTTCACGCTGGCCAGGGTGTTGAGGTCGAAGCGCAGGGTGCCCACCTGCAAGCGCAGCTCCTCGCGGGCCAGGGTCCTGGAGAGGGGGGGACACACGGCAGGGCAGCACAGCACGTGGTCGGCGGCAAGCGCGTCGCCCCCGCACCGCTTCACCAGCGGGATTCCGACATCGTATCCCTAGCGGGCCATCAGGTAGGCCGGGTGCGCCTCCCTACCGCTCGTCCAAGGGCGCCGCGTGCGTCCTGCCCCCCTCGAATGCTGGCCGATCAGCGCACTCTGCCTCACCCGCGCACGCACAAGTTCACTGGCTCTCGCGTCCTTGCACAGTGTGCGCGCAGGCTCGTGCCGCCCTTACGGCCCGCGCCCTGCGTGAGCCCTCACCAGTAGGCCTTCTCCACGAAGGGCAGCACGTCGTTGTCGAGGCGCCTCTCGCTCTCCCTGGCGCGGGCCTTGGTGGCCTCCAGGTTCTCACGCGCCTGGGGACAAGGGTGGAGGAGGGACAGCGACGCGGAGTGGTGAAGGCAGAGGTGCAGAGCAGCCGGGAGCGGAGCTCAGGAATATGGTGGGGGGCCGCGGCTTCCATTTCTGCATCCTCCCGTCCACCAGCCCCGCAGCACCGCCTCTCCAGCAGCAGCTGCTCCCGACGCGTCCCGCCCGTCGCGTCCCGCTGTCGACGGCTTCATGACCCTTCGGCTTCGTGATGCGTCGCCGCAGCAAGGCATGGTCCTTGGCGCCACACCCGCCAGCGCGGCTGCCCATGAACGGGCGGCCCTGCGCGTCGCAGTGACGCGTCGCTGCCCGGTGTTCTGCTGGCCCGGTGCACATCTGGGCCGCACCTGGCTCAAGCCGTCGCGGACGTTCTGGGGCAGGTCCAGCTCGCGCGCCTCGTAGATGAGGTCGAAGCCGGTGTCCCTGGCCTTGCGGTCATCAAACAGGTCCACGGGGGTGGCGGCCTGCGCGGCGGTGGCCGCCAGCAGCGCGGCGGCGCCCGCGAAGCTGGACAGCACCTGCGCGGGCGCGGGCAGAGGTGCGGGCCACGGTTTGATGGTGGTGTCCGAGCGCCTGGTGTTGTGCTCGTGTGCATGTGCGGTCTTATCAATGCGCGAGCGTAGGGAAGGCGGCCCGGCTGCCAGTCAAGCCCGGCGACTGAAGCAGCCCAATGACTGCCAGCTGCAGCGGACAGCGATTACGCTGATCTGGGACACATAGCCCGGGTAAAGGTACCACTTGTACTGTTGCGCGCCACGCCGCTCGCCCCTCACACGACCCGCTGTCTGCCTGCGCCAAAATGCGGCAGATGGCCCGATCTGCTGCTGCTGCTGCCACGCCGGCCCATCTCACCGCGCGGCGGCTCTCTGCAGAGGCGCGGACCACGACAGCGGACCTGCAGAAAAACAATGCGGACTCAATGAGCGCGCAACGCTGCCTAGAGAAACGGCATTCACTCGATCACGCGCCCGTCCTAGTGCCCGCGCTACCCCGCCAGTTCCGCTCCAGATCCCGCAAGTACCTGGATGGGCGCGCTGCGAGGCAGTAGCAGGAGTGGGAGTGTGAGCTAGGGGCACCAGAACAACGCGCGGGGGCCACGGGTGCAGCAGTGATCGAGCCCATTGATGCTCACCAGCGCGCTGGGCGGCCTGCGAGGCGACGGTCCTGCAAAGAAGAGTGAGATTCACATTAGATGTGATGCCTGTGGCACTGAATGGGCCTCCAGCATGCGTGCACTGGGTCCCGGTCCCAGGTGCTCACTGGCGGAGGGCCATGGCTGCTGCTGCCTCTGCTTGGACTTGTGAGGCTAACCGAAGTGCTAGTTTTGCCGCGAGAGTGTGTGCGAACCGTGAACGCTGGCCTCTTCGAGGAAAAAACGAGCGGGCCTAAAACCCGGGGTTGACGTTTGAGTCTCCTGTCGATTTTGGAAGCTCTTGCACGCTCTCCGTGATTGTTTGAGGCTCGCATGATCAAGCCATTACTTTCTACTCGCTGGCAGCGCTTGGCGGGCCAGCTGCGCCTGCAGTTCAGCTGTCGCTGACTGCCCCGCTGTCCAGCACCCAACCTGCACTGCAGCAGCTGCTGCGCTGTTTCAAGGTCGGAGCTGCTCTGCTCTGCTGGACCTCTATCCATGTCTGAAAACCTTCCACAATGCCACCAATACGCCTGTCAATATCAGCAGCAGCAGCAACACCAGCAGCAGCAGCACCACCACCAGCAGCAGCAGCAGCAGCAGCACCAGCAGCAGCACCAGCAGCAGCACCAGCAGCAGCACCACATCCAGCAGCAGCAGCAGCAGCAGCAGCAGCACTGCGAGAGCCCCTTCACCACAACTCCCAAGCCCAGGGCCAGCCGATGCACCGCGTGTGTTTGTTACTCTCGAGAACGCAACCAGAGCCGACGCGGCCCGGTCAGTCGAGCCGCCGGAGCAGGGAGCGGCCGAACTGGTCGAAGCAAAACGGCTCGATGTTGAGCTCCAGCGCCGAGACGGCGTTGGTGATGTCGAACGCCGCGAGAACCTCGGGGTGCACGACGCCAAAGATGCCCACCTGCGGCGCGCGCAGCATGGAGAAAACAGGGGGGCATAGCGTCAACAGAAAGAGGGATGGGGCGCGATGCGCCGCAGTGGGAAGGGGGTTGGTGCAGCGCACGAGGCGACGACCGTTGTTGGCGAAGCGGCGAGGCAGAACCCTCGAGGCCGCAGGCCACGGAGGGAGAGCGGCGTGCACAAGTGACTTGGGTCGGGTGGGGTTGAGGGGGGGGGGCACGGTGAGTGCGGCAGCAAGGCACGCGTAGGGGGAGGAGCGCTGCGCGGCCCACCTGCTGGCCGCTCGCGTGAATTGTCGCCTGGCGCCCCGGGAAGAAGGAGGGGTGGCTGCTGGGCTGCCAGCTGTAGCCCGCCTTGGGACCTGCGTCGGGGCTGCTGCTGCTGCTGCTGCTGCTGCTACTGCTGGTGCCTGGGGGCGCGTGAGGGGCGCACGACCGTGGGGTGCGCAGTTGAAATGAGGCCCGAGCGGGGCGGCCTCCAACCTCGTATGCCCATGGCTAGGCAGCCGGGTGCGCGGCGCCGGCCAGCGAGGGTTGCGCAGGCGCGCCCGCTCCGCGGAATGCGCCGCTCCTGTCTCAACAACTCGCCCTGCTTGGGCTCCTCACGAGCGCGGCCAGTGGCCCCACGCCACGCAGCCCCCACCCCGGGCTGAATGACCCATATACACATGTATGACCATAAATATGACCCATATACCCATACCCCATTATCTCAATGCGCACGGGTGCGCGCCGCGCACCCTGTGCTGCGAGGGGCACCCCGAGTGCCTCCATGACCCTGTTGAGCAGGCCGTGTATGACCTCGAAGCCGGCCTCCTTGTTGCACACCACCGCCACCAGCCGCCGCTCGTTGCGCGCCCCCACCTCGCGCTCGGGGGCCAGCAGCACCACGTCGCTGATCTGGGGGGTTTTGGGGGGGTGCGTGTGTGTGGGTACGCGTGCGTGTGTGTGTGCGTGTGTTTGTGTGGTCATGGATGAGGCATAGAGGGAACTATCAGGCAGGATAAATGGGGTTCAGGGAAGCGGGATATCAAGTGCGTGGCGGGGCAAAGGGACGGGGGGAGGGGGCGTGCTGCACAGAGCAGCTGTGCTGTGCGGTGCGCGCCATCAGCGGGGGCCGGAGCAAACGGTGACTCGGTGGGGCTGGCACGTTGGCAGCGGGGACAAGAGCACGCGCTGCTATGGTAAGGGGGGAAGGAGAGAGCGGCCCGCTTGAGGGCGCGCCGAGGGTCGCGCAGCCGGCGCGCCGCGGCCCCTGCCACGCCGCGCCCACCTCGAACAGCTTGATGGGCAGCTCCGCGTTTTTGTTGGCGCCCAGCGTTTTGAGCGCCTGGCCAGCAGACAATGAGGGGTGGCACAGCGGTAGAGTGCGTCGGGGTGCAGCGACCAGGGCGGCCGGCGGATGGGGGGGATACGCGACGCGCGGCCCTTCTAGGGGCTGGTCAAACAGCCGCAAAGCAGCGGCGGGTCCCCAGGCTCGTCCTGGGCGC